TACATACCAATCATGCAAGTTTTGCCTCGAGTTCTGTTTAGGCTATCTATTGTGTAAAAAAAAAATTAAAACTTATAGTAAAACAACGCGTCGTGTCTTTGAAACTGTCCATACCAAAATTTTTTTTTGAAAAGGAAAAAAAAAAAAAGACACGTAGTGTCTCAAAAGGAAAAAAATGATTGGTGCATAGCATCTCACATGGAGAAAATCATATATTGATCACATCACGTCTCCCTTAATTTCCTTAATTTCACTTTATTATTATTTCATTTTTTTGAAAATGTCAAGTGTATTCGGAAACACCAACCAAAAAAGAAGAAATAAAAGTAACATCACTGGCAGTAATGGGCAAGTATTGCTTTTTTTCCAAGGTGGTGGTTGCTATTCTAGTTGTTATCCAAGATCATTAAGTTAAGTTTGGATGGAAAGTCTGTGTTCATTTCATTATGAAAAACCTTGTCAATCTTGACCAAAGAAATACAAATAAGGAAATTGTTTGCATAAAAAACTACAAACCTTTCTTATATATATGTATATTATCTTTAGTTTTACAAATAAATGAATTTAATTGCAATTGGGTGAAATTAAAAGTGATTATGATTGGTGTGTATTTAAAAAATGTATACACACGTTGTGATACATGACTCAGCTGTAACAATTAAATTTTCTGTTACACTAAAACAGATAACAAATAAATGATTGAAAAATAGACGAAATTATTTTTTTTTTATTAATTAAAAAAAGAAATAACAATCAATAATCCAAGATTTATTGATCGTACTAAAACAGGTTTTAATAAATAATAAATGATTATTTTTAGAAAATTATTGTTTTATTTCTAAAAAAAAAAAATTGAATTGTTGAAATTATTATTTTTGATGAGATTTATTGATCATATAAATATTAAGATAGAATTTCTAAAAAAGCAATTGAAAAAATTTCTAGAATCATTATTTTGAATTAACATAATAAGTATACTGCAAATTATGTGTGATTAAATTTTTTTTCAAAAAAATAATTGAATTTCCTTTAAATAAATGACATAGCAAAAATCAGAAAACACAAAAATTTTGCATGCATATTCTACAGGACCCTAGGCTACAAGCTATATATACTTATTACACATGATTTTGCATTATTGATTCTCTGAAATTTTTGCTGTAGTGTACCATTTGTTGTTCTAATAAAATCTATTTGAATCTACTAAACAAATAAACAAATGGATAAATTTATTTATTATTTATCAAAAAAAGAAATAAAACTTTAAAGTATATAAAATATGATTGATTTTGGACTGAGATTGATGTATCAAAAAAATTTGCAACATTAAAAATCACTAAACTTTATACATTTAAATAATATTTTTTTGAATAAATTCTTTAAAAACAATGCTGTTTAAATTGACTACTACTTGTGTGGTTGATTCAATCATTAACACCAAAGGAACAAAATTAATTATTTCGCAATAAAAGCTATTTGTTTGTTTATTTATTGATTTTAATATTAATATTAATGCATGGTTTCTATTCATAATACAGTCAGAACTCATCAGAACTCATTAAACCAAAGTCTATATTTTCAAAAAAAAAAATCTTCAATTTAAAAAACCTTAATAAAATCAGCTTATTGAGGTAAATTTGATAGGAAGATAATAAAACAACATTGGCTTATCATGTATATTCAGTTTATCAAAGCATTGCCTTAACGAGTTCTGACTGTATGTTTTATTTGCTTTTATTCATTTTATTTGCTTTTATTCATTTTATTCATTTTATTTGCTTTTATTCATTTTATTCATTTTATTTGTTTTATTTGTTTTGTTCGTTTTTATTCGTTTTGTTCATTTTGTTCATTTTTATTCATTTTATTATTACTTGAATTATTTGTTTTACTCAAATAAACATTTGAATAGAAACCTAACTGCTACTCAAGATATGATATTATTTTAGCACAAAGAGCTTTAGAAATATTTAACCAACAATTTAATTACAAATAAGCTTTTAGACAATATGATAAAAATATTAAGAATATTATAATCAGATTCTGATATTTGCTGATACCCCATTACCCAATTTGGCCAGTAAAGAGAGAACCAATAGATTATATATAAGCAAAGAAAATGGGACCTTAAATTAGCACAAAAGAATTTTAAATCATGCACAAACATAACAGCTTGATAGCTTGATTGACATAGTGATGCAGTCTTTGGATTCAATGCAATTTTTTTTATTGTATAATTAATCATATGTTTTTTAACAAAACAAACATGACTTACCATTTAATCATTTCCTTTGTTTCCTTGTATGCGAATGCCTCCATCCATCAAATATTCATTGGTCATGATTATTATGCAATACATTTGATATCATAATTGACATAACAAACAATTGCATCACCCAGGTAGTAACAATACCAAGGCCATGCATAAACAAACTTTTAATAATGCGTGTATACCCAGATCTCTGGGGTTCACAATAATAAATTATTCTTCCTGATTATCAATTGTAGTTCCTTATGAATAATAAATCTGATGTTGATTGCAGATGTCAGATTTAATTGAAATTTCCTATCACCAACACAAGTTTGGGTGCAATTAAGCACGCCTCATAACTGTAAATTTTTTTCCACAGGTAAGGGTGCCCTCTGTTGGAAGGCTTTGGACAAAACATTCCCTTATCTTCCCCTCAGACCAGGCTTGACTGTCACCATATGGGCATTAATCACTGATAGCTGGTGCTTGCATTGTGTTATCACCCTCTCTCACTAGAATAAAGTTGATTTAAATAACAAGTTCAGTTGGTTAACAAAAATTAAAGAGAAATAGAAAATTTATGAAAAATGATTAATTTATAACATAACATACCAAAATCCAAACCATTTTATGACTTTTTCTTGTTGGCCATATTGCTGACAAAGATGTATATAATCATGTGATAATTTTAACCTAAAGGACAGGGGGACTGATTGGGCAAAAACCCTGTTCAATCCCCTATCCAAAATTATAAATTGGTTAGAATCAAAAAAACAAAGAATTTAGGAAAATGATTATACAAAACAAACACTATTTACAACTTTCCTTTTAACATCAGAGTCCAAATGCAATTTCAGGACCACAAACCCTGCTCTGAATTGTGACCTCCTGTGCTTGAAACAAGTTGCAGATTCTTGTTGCTTTGATGGATCTGGATATTTACATGGCACTACAATTCATCAGCAGAGTTGCAACTTGGTCACAGAACCATCCTTACCCCAGAGGTGGGATTGTTGCAGGCAACTTTTCGGCCAGCATGCCAGCAGCCTTCTCTGGTCAGGGAAGATTAGTGAAAGTGTCATTGACAATTGATGCAGTCTTGGTAAACTCCAGAGCTTTGCGTCCCCCCCCCCAGATTTCAACATCATCATATCATCGGGAGAAACGTGGTCAGATTAGCCTTATGTACATGAGAAACGTGTGTGAATGACTGTAAAGTGTTCAAGGTAGCGTGCGTGCTTCAACATCTGTAAGTTTCCGATAATCAAACATCGCATACCAAAATGTTTCTTTTTCAACAGTTAATGCTGCCTTGACATCTTGTAATTATAATAATATAATATTAGTATTATTATTACGATTACGCAAAGCAAAATATTATCAATGAAAATCTTGTAATTACCCAGCAAGATCTCCTCCGCGTTTTGATTCCAATTAAAATATTTATAAGCTAAAATAAAAGGCACCTCATACATATCAATACAAATAAAAAAAAGTACCTCTGGTTAGTTATTAAAACGTTTCTTTAGGAGACCCAAACCAAACAAACAACAATGTTCACGTTTTGTCACCTTGGACTCTGTCAAAAAATAAATAAATTGTCTTTCCAAGAAAAAAAAAAATCATTCGCGTCTGTCCTACCAAAAAAAAAAACCAATAGGATAAATAATTAATGTGTACGCGTCGTCGATTAAACAACAAACTTTTATTTAATTTTTTAAAAAAAAAATGTCCAATTATAAAAATTTAAGAAGCAGAGAAAATAATACGAGGAATGATGAGTAAGTGTTTTAAGGATGGTGGTGGTGGTTATCGCCCGCCACTCGTCGTTACTCTAGTTTTATATATAACTTTATCTTTTTCATTTACTTAGATTTACAACTCAAATCATAAAAAGATTGGGGGAGGTCCATCGTCTAACCCCCCAAAGCGTCAGAGATTTTTTAAATTCCGAAGTGGATTTAATTAAATCTTTGAATAATATTATTATAAATATTTCAGATACAATGCAAACATTTTATTTTGAAGAGGTGATTTAAATAGAATGATTTATATTATATATATATATTTATAAATACTACATTCATATATTCATACACGCATTTCAAATATGTCTATTTTTTGTAGGAGAGTGATAATGATGATGATGATGATGATGATGATGATAATGATAATAATAATACTAATAATAATAATAATGATAATGATAATAATAGTGATAATAATAATGATAATGATAATAATAATGATAATAATAATACTAATAATGATAACAATAATAATGATAATAATAATAATAGTAATGATAATAATAATAACATTAATAATGATAATGATAACAATAATGATGACAACAATAATGATAATAATGATAACAATAATAATGATAATAATAATAATGATAATAATAATAGTAATACTAATAATGATAATAATAATAACATTAATAATGATAATAATAATGATAATGATAATAATAATGATAATGATAATGATAATGATAATGATAATGATAATAATAATAGTAATGATAATAATAATAATACTAATAATGATGGCAATAATAATGATGATAATAATAATAGTAATGATAATAATAATAACATTAATAATGATAATGATAATAATAATGATAATAATAACAATGATGATGATGATGATGATAATAATAATAACTCAGTTAATAAACTTTTCTGTTTATTAATATGTTAATTTGTTTGTATTTTTTGTCAACTTATGCATTTGTTTTTTAAAAACCTTGCAGATATATAATCTTCGTACTAGAAGAAGAATCAATTTTTTTTTGAATTTTTATATTGATATGTCGATTATTACTATTATACTCTATTGACCATTTAATAGTTTTTCCTGGTTCAATATCAAATTCACTATCCTCATAATTAATTTCTTTGTTATTGTACATTTCACTTAATGTCCGTCCTATATATAAATATAAATAATAGCTATTTTTTATACATATTTGTTGAAAATCATTTAATTTTTCTTTGTTAATAAATTCTTTAATGTAAATTTGATTGTTAATAGCCATAAATATTTTATTATCTGATATGGTTGATCCAAATATGATATCATTTTTATCTTCATATGTATTTTCTATAAAGTTATCTAAATTATAAGGATCTATTAATTTACAAATGTAATTATTTGTACTTGTATGATGTAGTATTAATAATAGACATTCTAATTGACTTTTTATATAAATAAAATCTAATTTTTTGATAGTGATGTCTTTTTCCAATTCAACTGTAAAATAAAAAATAAATATAATATAAATAAATAAATAAATAAACAAACAAACAAGCAAGCAAACAAACAAACAAACAAACAAAGCTAAATAATACTTACATGAAGAAATAATAATATTATGTTTTATTGAGTAAATTATTATTTTTGAATTATCTTTATAATATAATGCCATTATTGTTTTGTTTTGATTTAATATTATATCAGTATGATTTTTTCTACATATTAAATAACAACTATCTTGATATGATATAGTTGTCAGATTCCATCGTGATAATAATGAATATTTATCACTTAATAGAAAATAATTAGAATTTACAAAATAATCTGTATTTATGTTATGATAATAACCATAAATTTGATATTTTGATTTATGAACCAATTTATCATTTCTATATGAAAAATTGTATAAAGAATTCTGGCTTATTATTATAAAATCATTATTTGTAATGAAACCTTTGAAGTCACTACCAATTGGATAATCATACGTTTGTTTTTTTGAAAAGTCAAGTAATTGTGATCCTATAAAATTAGTTTTAAATGATGCAAATTTTTATTATTATTTATTGCTTATAAATAATATAATACACATAAATAATCATATTTACTTACTGTAATAATCATCACATACAAGAAGAAGCATATATTTATCATCTGAAACATCTATTATACATGTCTTTTCTACATAATCAGTGTTAAAATAATTATCATGACCATCTTGTTGAATTGTTCCTTCATCAGGATTAACTGTCCATCCAGCGATAGATTTGTCTTGTTTACTAAGAGTTACTAAAAATTTACAATTAGGACTACACTTTATTTCATCAATTGGATGTCCATTATGTGTATCAATTATAGTTCGCTTTTCAAAAGCATTAACACTTATATAATTTGTAGTCGGATTTTTAGTATTATTTTCTGATACTTCACTTTTATCTGTCACTATTTCAATTTCTTCTTCCATTTTTATAAAAGATTAATTAAAAAATTTATTAGTTTTATTTTTTTTTTTTAAGAAATGTAAGGAGGATATTTATACTAGACACTCATTCGGTATTATTATAATTATAATTTTTTTTTGGTAAATAAATTTATTACACAAATATAAACAAATCGTGTAGCTGAGAACTTCTATTGTTTTGCATTTAACAAAGACAATTTTTCCTGCTGACTGGTAATTGGTTTTGGTTAAATAGTACATTCTCTTATCTGGTGCGTGAACGCGATTCACATTCCAAAATATAAAGACAATTTGAATAACATAAATTTCTTTACAAGATTTATATTTAATTTAAAAAATTTTTTTTTTTTATGTAAAAAACCGGGAAATTTTATAAAACATGTTTGCTTAAAAATATAATATGAAAACAAATTTTGCTTTATTTAATTGATATTAATTAATCAATCTTGCTTCACCACCGTTCTTTCTTTCACCTTTTTCTGTTAAAAGAAAGATTGTTATTATTGTTACACGAAATCTATTTACACATTTTGTATGAAACTAAAACTTTAATTACACGAATTAATTGAACCTAAAAATATGTGCAACAAAAACAAATTCTTAAAAGACTGGATTGGCGCAAACTTAATAAATAAAACTCCAAATTTAATTTTATTGTTTTATAATTTAATTAATGATGGTGGTGTTGACATTAGATGTAGCCAGCCAACGTCGGTATGATCCTTTAAAGAAAGAAATGGTAAAAATGTTGTATGTGAAATTGAAATATTATGGAGTGGGGTGAAATTCTGATTGGCTAATTTGAATTTCACATATTAATATGTAAATTTGAGTGAATTGTGAATAATTTCATTTTCACGTCACGTACAACAGTAATAAAAAATTTTAATTTGTGGCAATTTTTTTTATTTGTGTCACCCTATTTTTCTTTTTTAAGAAAAAAAATTATGATGCTGTGAATAATCACAACGCTGCTGAATAATTATAATGCTGATGCAAAGAATTACAACAATTGTTGAAAAAATGCAAAAAATTTCAACATTGCCGCAAATAATTACAACGCTGCTGCAACAATTATTGCAAATAATTATAATGTCATTGCAAAGAATTACAACATTGTCAAAAGATTACAACACTTACTACAAAGAATTACAATGTTTCTCTTATAAATAAATATGGAATAGTGTTTTACTCCTTTGCAAATGGTCATTATCAACTTCTAATTAGTGATGTTGGCCAGCTAAGAAATTTATTGGCATAGCCAGATAAGAATTTTTTAAAAGCTTAACCGGCTAAAAAAAAATCTCTTAACATTCATTTTTACATCTGGAATTCTAGTGCAGAATTCTATGGCATAGTCATTTAGTCGAGATGGGTCCACCTGTATTACTTAGAATGACAAAAAAAAACATACATTTGCTCAAAAACAAAATATAATAAATCACATAAAAGTCATAGTTAGAATTTCTGTTTGTAATACAAATATCCTTGAATTACTATTTGCTTTATTCAAATTCTTTGTGAGTACTCAAATTCATAATGAATAAAACAATAATCCGAATGAACCTTATTCGAACCATTAATAGTAATAACAATAGTAATAATAGTAATAACAATTGTAGTGATAATAATACTGACAGACTTTGTATCATCTAAAAGGTTTTTTCATCAACTGGGATTTAATGAAGTTTTTAGCTGACTAAGGTTTTTTCTATCGGCCAACATCCCTATTCAATTTTCGTATTGGAATAAAAAGTCTTCATGATTTATAATACTTCCTGTCATTACTATACTAATCAATGTGGAAGACACAATTTATTATTTATTATTATTTTCATTTCATGAAAGAAATATATATCCGCAATCACCAATCGATTTCTAAATAAGGATAACACACACCCAACCCCAACCCATGCAAAAGGTTACACCTTTATCCCCTTTATCAATCTTATCGATCTTTGGTATCAGTCGGATAATTCACTCAAGATCTACGGGCCAGTGATCAGTGCATTTATATTTATCCCTCGCCAGGCTAAAGCTGTATCCCTCTGAACACAGGAATAAAGGTCAGACCTAACTAGAAATCATCCTCATATATAAAATTGGATATTCTCACGATGCTGCGTAAATTGCGGATACTTTTGTGGAAAATACATGGTTATATATTAATATTAATATATATTTAATCTAAGGAAATATGTGGCGGACATCATTAAATGTGTATTGCAAGATGTATTTGCGAATTTGATTGAATGTTATTATTATTATCAATAAAAAAAAAGTCAATTTTACTACTCGAAATACAGCTTTTACTAAACCTACTTATGTTTCTCTATATCAATCCCTTGCTTTAGTCACTTTGTTTCGAATATTCTTTAACTTGAAATCCAGTTTTAATTACTGCCAAGTGGATAAGGGATCTCGCTTAACAATTTTTGGCATGATATCAAGGAGGTATGGTTACGACTTCGTATCTGCTGTGCGAGCGAGTTTAATTTTATTGATACATGACAAATCGATTTACGGCTGATGCTTTTTCAGGAAGGATAGATTTGTTGTATATTGAGTATTTGGCATACTTGGTTAATTTACATTGGTGATTATTTGATTCATTATGAAATAAATGTTTGTTTACTATGTGTAGTTCGAATTAAGGGCAGAAAAGAATGACGACAATGAACATTTATAAATTATGCAATTGATTTCATTGCTTTATCTAATGCTCATATATTAAAGTAATTATGCCTAAAATTTCGGCATTTTGCTTGCTTGAAAACCGAAACTAAATTTTTTAATTTGGCAAAACTATTGCCGAAATTTAGTAGCTTAGGCAAACTTCTATAGTTCCAAAACTCCAAAGAATTTGGGTATTGATATTCACTTATGTAGCAGTATTTGATAATGTTCTTTTAACATTTTCTTTTTAGAAAATTAGTACTTCAATCAAAAGAGTAGAAAACGTAGTAATGATAATATCAACATACATCATTTTATATATATAATATCCCTCTCAATATTGACTACACAGCTTTCTTTTTATTGAGTATAAATAATAAAATATTATTTTCATGTTTTTTGGCCTTTATTTTATAGTTATAAATAAAATTTGATGGAATATAAATTTTATGTCTTGCATAACCATTTCACAAACACAGTTGATTATGAATTAATAAGGTCAGCCGGAAATTTCCCCATCTGGGTATAATCGTCTTGAAATATGTTATAAATAAAAGTCCAAATGGGTCTTTTCTGTGTCAAATTAATTTTTTATTTATTTAAATTTTTTTTTTTAGAATAATTTATTTTTAGATTCCCAATGGAAAAAAACTCACTTGAAACTGTAATTGTGGAAAATTCTGGCATCGTTATTATAGCTGGTATTATTCTTTTTACGGAAATTACGGTTATTATTTTAACAATAGTGTATGTATCTCGTCGCTGCTGTTTATGTTATAGGAATGAAGCCAGTTGTGATCTGAAGGAAGGCAAATTCGATTTAAAACAAATTCTCGATAAATAACGGTCTTTGAAATGGTAATAGCATTTTTGTATTACTGTTATTATTTTTTGATTATTCAAGCAAAAGTCTTATTTTACAAAAAAATCTCTGCTGGTAGATATTTCCGAATCAGGCTATTACTATATTGTTATAGGAGAAAATTCTAAAAATCAAAAAAAAATCAAAAAATCGAAAAAACTTACAAAAAAACCAAAAAACCCTAAAAAAAAAACGCCATTTACTCCATACCTTATATGCGCAATTAAAACATACCTTTTCAGTATGTTACGAGTTCCGTATTGATTCCGTACTTCATATTCATACTAAATTTGAAAAGGGGGTAGTTTTCCAAAACCGTAATACGTTAATTCCGTATATATTAATACTAATACTAATTTTAAACGGAAATAACGGGGTTGACTGTGTGGTTTGTGGCCTAGTACTAGACTCTATAAATTATTTTAATTTTTCTTTTTTGAAATAATTGAATTCAATTTTTTTTAATAATAATAAATAACGACATACCAAAAATCAGAAAACACGAAAATTTTGCATGCATATTCTACAGGACCTAGGCTACAAGCCATATATACTTATTATGTGTGTTTTTGCATTATTGATTCTCTGAAATTTGCTGTAGTGTACCATTTGTTTTAATAAAATCTATTTGAATCTACTAAAACAAATAAACAAATGGATAAAATTATTGTTTATCAAAAAAAGTAATAAAGAAACTTTAAAGTATATAAATATGGACTGAGATTGATGTATCAAAAAATTTTGCAACATTAAAAATAATAAACTTTATACATTTGAATAATAAATTCTTTAAAAACAATGCTGTTTAAATTGACTACTGCTTGTGTGATCAATTCAATCATTAACACCAAAGGAACAAAATTAATTATTTCATAATAAAAGCTATTTGTTTGTTTATTTATTGTTGTTTTTTGATTTTAGTATTAATGCACAATTTCTATTCATAATACAAGTTTTGCTTCATATGCTTTATATGCTTTTATTTGAATTGTTATTCATTTTATTTGTTTTATTTGTTTTATTCGTTTATTTGCTTTTATTTGTTTTATTCATTTTATTCCTTTTATTCACTTTTATTCGCTTTTATTCGCTTTTATTCATTTTATTCGAATTATTATTACTCGAATTATTTGTTTTATCCAAATAAACATTTGAATAGAAAACCCTAACTGCTACTTAAGATATGATATTATTTTAGTACAAAGAGCTTTAGAAATATTTAACCAATAACTTAATTACAATATAAAGAGCCATTGGTTATTAAACTAAGCCAATAATTAACTAAAAAAAGGATTAATTTTAAAAGAATATCTGATAAATATTGGCAATTTCAATATTTACTGTAGGCTATTGGACTATATGATAAAAATATTATTAACTTATCAGTATGCTAATACCTTAATTATTTTTTTAAAGAATAATCAGATTATGATATTTGCTGATACCCCATTACCCAATTTGGCATCATTTGACCAGTAAAAAGAGAACCAATAGATTATATATAAGCAAAGAAAGATGGGACCACAAAAGAATTTTAAATCATGCACAAACATAACAGCTTGATAGCTTGATTGACATAGTGGTGCAGTCTTGCAATTTTTTTATTGTATATTTTAAATATAATTAATCATATGTCTTTAACAAAACAAACATGACTTAGCTATTTAATCATTTCTTTCATTTCCTTGTATGTGAATGCCTCCATCCATCGAATATTCATGGTGGTCATGATTATTATGTGATACATTTGATATCATCATTGACATAACAAACAATTGCATCACCCAGGTAGTAATGATACCAAGGCCATACAGAAATGAAACTTTTAATAATGTGTCTCTACCCAGATCTCTGGGATTCACAAGAATAAATAAATAGGGAGGATCAAAAAAAATATTTCCTTCCATTGTATGGTTCATTATGAATAATAAATCTGATGTTGATTGCAGGTGACAGATTTAACTAAAATTTCCTATCACAAACATATGGTTGGGTGCTTTCACACACCTCCATAATTGTGGGATTGTTTCCACAGTGAAGGCCCCCACATGTTGGAAGGCTTTGGACAAAACATTTTCTTATCTTCCCCTCAGACCAGGCTTGGCCGTTACCATATGGGCATTGATCACTGATAGCTGGTGCTTGTGTGGTGATTGCTTTGTGTTATACCCCTCACTCACTAGAATAAAGTTGGCACCTGCAACTGGTTGAAAATTCTCCAACTCGGGAGGCTGCAACCTGGGTTGCTATAATTTTTATGAAAAGAAAAGTATTAATATTTAACAATTAATTATTTAAATGTTTATTTTGTTGAAAAAATATACATTGATAGTGTACATTTTCTGTGCTTAACATCCATGTGAACCTAAGTCTGGACAAAAGATCCCTTTCCATGAGTTGGCTGGTATATCTCAAAGTGTCTCCTGTCTTGTCAGTGGCATGCCAACTTGCCAACAATCCTACCCCCATTCAAAAAACAAATTCAGTTGGTCAAATAAAAATTAAAGAGAAGCATAAAATTTGGGAAAATGATTAATTTATAACATACCATACCAAAATCCAAACCATTTATGACTTTTCCTTGTTGGCTATATTGCTGACAAAGATGTATATAATTGTGCAATAATATAATCTACAAAACAGGGAACTGATTGGGCAAAAACCCAGTTCAATCCCCTATCCAAAATTATAAATTGGTTAGAATCAGAGAAAGAGAGAATTTAGGAAAATGATTATACAAACAAACACTATTTTACAACTTTCCTCTTAACATCAGAGCCAAATGCAATTTCAGGGCCACCAACCCTGCTCTGAATTGTGACTTCCTGTGCTTGAACGAGCTGCAGATTCTCTTAATATTCCTCCAGAGTTGCAACAGCTTGGTCACAGAGCCATCCTTGCCCTAGAGGTGGAATCGTTGCAGGCAACTTTTTGGCTAGCGTGCCAGCAGCCTTCTCTGGTCTGGTGCTGTAAGGGAAGATTAGTGAAAGCATCCTTGACGATTGGTGCAGTCTCGGTAAACTCCTGGGCCATGCTGCCCCCCCCTGGAGTTCAGTTGCATCATTGTATCATCGGGGGGCGCAAGTCAAATTAGCCTTGTGCAGACAGCGAGGAAGATGAGAGAATGACCGTAATGTGTTCAAGGTAGCGTGCGTGCTTAAACACTTGTAAATTTCCGATAATCAAACTTCGCATACTCAAAATGTTTCTTTTTCAATGGTGTGCTGCCTTGACATCTTGTAATTATAATAATATAATATTAGTATTATTATTACGATTAAGCAAAGGAAAATATTATCAATGAGAATCTTGAAATTACCCAGCAAGATCTGCTCCGTGTTTTGATTCCAATTAAAATATTTATAAGCTAAAATAAAAGACACCTCATACATATCAATACAAATAAAAAAGAGTACCTCTGGTTAGTAATTAGCACGTTTTCTTTAGGAGATCCAAACCAAACAACAACACTCACATTTTGTCACCTTGGACTCTTGTTTTTCCAAAAAAAAAAAAAAAAATCAATTCGCGTCTGTCCTACCAAAAAAAAAAACCAGGATAAATAATGTGTACACGTCGATCAAATCACAAACTTCTTTTATTAAATTATTAAAGATTTCAAAATGTCGTTTGATAATAAGAAAAATAAAAGAAGACAAGAAAAAGGAATTGCCGAAGATCGAGGGTAAGTGTTTTAAGAATAAGGATGGTGGTGGTGGTTATTGCCCGCCACTCGTCGTTACTCTAGTTATTTAAAAAGAATGGTGGTGGTGCAATATTGAAACACGCGTCATTCTAGTTTCATTAATACATTTAATCAATAAACTAGACAAACATCCAAAAAAACAAGAATCGAGGAACCTCAGCCGGCTAAATGGACTAGTTTAGTCCATAACGGAGTCTGGTTTCCTCCAGAGTACGTTCCTCATAATATTAAAATGAAATATAATGGTATGGCATTATATAATCTAATTTTATTTTTTAATGCATGTGCATTTGAAAATATTATTATTGTTGTTGTTATAATTTTTTAATTATGTTTCTAAACTTTTTACAATAATCATTATTGATTTTTTTTTCAAAGGAGATGAAATAAAACTCTCTCCTGAAGCCGAAGAAATAGCAACATTTTATGCTGAATTGTTAAACACAGACTATGTAAAGAACAACACTTTCAACAAGAATTTCTTTAAAGATTGGAAAGCTGTATTGAAAAAATCCAAAGAAAATCCACAAATTGAGGATTTTGAAAAATGTGATTTTACTTCTATATACAATTATTTACAAGAAGAGGAGGAACGAAAAAAGAATTTTTCAACAGAGGAAAAACAAAGGTTGAAAGATGAAAAGACCAGGATAGATGAGTTTTATGGTTATTGTCAGTTAGATGGATGTAAAGAAAAAGTTGGTAATTTTAGAATTGAGCCACCTGGTTTGTTTAAAGGTCATGGTGAACATCCTAAAACTGGTTTGTTGAAATTGAGAGTCACCCCTGAGCAAATAACAATTAATCTCAGTAAAGATGCACCCATCCCTCCTCCACCTGCTGGCCACTCCTGGGGTAGTATTCAACATGATAACACAGTTACCTGGCTTGCCAAATGGAAGGAGAATGTAAATAACAAAATAAAATATGTGATTTTAGCACCCAATAGCTCACTTAAAGGTCAAAGCGATTTGGAAAAATTTGATAAGGCTAGGGAACTTGATAAACATTTAGAAAAAATTCGCCATGATTACATAGAGGATTTAAAAAGTAAAGACAGATTTGTTTGTCAATGTGCTACTGCCACATATCTTATAGACAAACTTGCATTAAGAGCAG